ATTCCATTTAATATACTTCTCATCTCAGATAACACGTTTGTCATTTCTGACTGGTACCCTTTTATAATTTCTATTTCCATTTTTATGTTTTTTATCTCTTTGTTGAAGTTATCACTGAATTTATCTATACTTCCCAAAAGTTTATTGAGCAGTGTTTTGAACTCTGCATCTGTTAGATTCCTTGACTCCATTATTTCTGAATCTCCTTTCTGTTCTCTCACATGGTTTCTGCTTCTTTGTCTTCCCATTTTGGCTGCTTTCTGTCTGTTTCTATGTATTAAACAAAGCTCCTAAGTCTCCCGGTCTTATTAGTGTGGATTTGTGAAGTAGGTGTCTGTCTAGTGACACAGTCCTGAGAGGGGTTCAGCTGTAGGCCAAATTTAACCCAAGCTTCTGCCAATCTGGGGCCACATGTTAAGACTCAGCAAGCAATCCACAGATGCTCTGCTTATAGTTGCCTCAAAAGGCCACACCAGAAACCGAGGCCAGCTGCCTTCAGTGTGAGTGTAGGTGCTGCCCAGCAAGGAGCACCTGACTCTCTGAGGATGTACCCGGATGTGGCTTGGGTGGAGCTGTGAGTTGGGGGAGGCAGGGTTTCAGGGAATCCTCTGGGCTGAGTGACCTCTGTTATCTAGTTTGATGACCTCGCGGCTATGGCGGCACTGTGTCTGCGCACTGGAAGGGAGGAGGGCTCAACAGGAAACAATGAATACTGCCAGTACTTTTGTACAGAACGAGTTTTGCCTCCACGCTCACTCCGAGAATGTCTCCCTGTAAGTCCCTGGTGCCCTCGGAGCGCAGCCGAATTGGCACTGGTGCTCAGAATGAGCAGGTCCGTCACCGCAAAAATCCACTCACGGACGTGGCCCCTTTAAGAGGCTGCTGCTGCTGCTGCTGCTGCAGCCTCCGTCTCAGCTGCTGGAGACCGGGCTGCCCCACATCCTCCCCATCCTACCTTCTGCTGTTGCAGGGTGATTTCCTGGAATTCTCCCTAGTTGTATGGCTTGTTCACCTAGATTCCAGGCGATTTTTCCTTGTTTGCTCCTTGTTTCCATCACAACTTTGATTTGGTTGCCAGAGGGAATGAACAGAGGCTCTATCATCTACTTAATTTTTTTCCCTCCCTGTTGGCTAAAATATTTTATAGGTCTATGATGAGCTCTATGTTTCTGAGTTAAAACTCCTAAAGCATTTTCTTTACTTTCATGTATAAAAAGAAAGAAAGTTTATAATTAGGGTGACTCAAAGTGGGAACTCTAGATAAATCTTCCTTTAGAGTTTCCACAGCTTGTTTCACTTTGGGGGTTAGATTGGATCAGGCCGATCTGGTTATAATAAGACATAAAGAGGTTGAGTCATTAATGAGAAATTTGGGACCCAGTTGCGACAGTATCCAGTCTACTCTAGGACTCCCCTAAGCTGTTTCTTAGTTTTTGGAAGAGAAGAGGCTAGATTTCCTCTGAGTCTTTCGGGGTTAATTAGCACTCTATCTTTAGATATAAGATGGCCAAGGTATTTTAGTTGGGGTAAATAGAATTGAAGCTTGTCTTTCAAGACTTTGTTTCCCTTTATGGCTAGCTATTGTAATAAATAAACTGAATATTTTTAGTGGTCTAACGATGTCCTGGAACATAAAAGTAAATCATCCACATATTGGATCAGAGTGGAATGTCCGGGAAATTCAACATTATTTAAATCTGTCTTTGGTAGTTGAGAGAAATACGTGAGATTCTCTATATATGCCTGGAGTATTATGGTTCAAGTGAATTGGCGACTTTTCCAGGTGAAAGTAAAAAGATATAGACTGTTCCTTTCTACAGGAATGCTAAAAAGGGCACTACATAAATCTATTACGGAAAAATATTGTCAATCTACAGGAATGGAAGATAACAGAGTATATGGATTTGGAATAACAATTTTGCTTATACCTCTGAAATCTTGTACAAATCTCCATCCTTTCTCATTGGGTTTCTTTACTGGAAGGCTAGGAGTATTATAGGGGCTTATGCATGGAATTATAATCTCTCTCTAAGTGATCTTGTATAATGAGCTTAATTCCAGCTAGTGCATCAGATCTTAAGACTGACAAATATTAGTTGCTTTAGGTCTTAAAGGATATTGACAAATATTAGGCAGAGGCAAAGTATCGTCAATAGTTATTTGATAGGAGTAGCTGACTTAATCATGCCAATATCCATACTGGAAAGAACCCAGAGCTGTATAGAAACATCCTGTAGTAAACATTCAGTCTCAAGATTAGTGTCCTCATATGGAGATTCCTTTAAAATCATTGTTTTCTCAATTGATTCAATGCCTGATTCACATAGTTCTAAATGCATTTTGCCTTTTTGAGAAAAGGATATGTGAACATCATGGGTTTCAAAAAGTCTCATCCAATCAAGTGAATTGGGACATATTTGGTTAGTAAAAAAAATAAGTTGCCCCACAACATTCCCTAGCTAGAGGGAAACAACTTCTGACTTAAAAAGAGACATTGATTTGTTAGATATCCCTATCATTTGTATAGAGGTTTTACTCAAGGGAGAGGGTAATTTAATTGAGTTGGGTTGAGAACAGGTAAAGTAGCCCCAGTATTTATAAAGGCTTTGGTAGTTTCCCCCTTTATAATAATTTCAATTTCTCCTATTAATAAGGAAAAAGGGATATGTCCTCTTGTAATCTTCAGAGCAGCCCTATGTTTGCTTCTTTTTCTAAATCCCATTTCATTTTCTGCAATCGTTCTTAAATTGATCTGGCTTGTTACATACAGTAAAAGCAGACTCTTTTCCCCTTGCTGAAAAGGCCTTCGAGGAGGTCTGACCTGATTGCTTAATTGTTGGAGCTATAAATTCATTGGAGCTTTTCTTTCTTTTGGATAGTTTTAGATAACTGATCAGCCAGAATTGCTAGCTTATTAGTATGTGTGGTTAACCAGCTTAATTTATGCTGTTTCATCAGAGTTACAAGCTCTGCATCTAATCCTTCCAAAAATGCTAAATGGAGCAACAAATCATTTTGATGACCATTAAAATTACCTGGAGATAGTCCTGAATATTGTTTGAAAATTTTCTCAGATTGGTAAAAGAAATTAAGTATGGTTTCATCAACATACATTTATTGACAGCCATGTATGGGGAAGACACATTTCTCCACTCTCATGGGGCTTACACTAGTGATGGGGGGGGGGGGGGGTGGAAAATAAACACATTGACAAAGAAATGATGACAAATGAATGCAGAAAGTGAAACAGAATGATGCATTATGGGGAACTAATTTAGACTGGAGGATGGAGGAAAGCCTTTCTGAGATGCCAACTGAGCAGAGGTATGACTGTCAAGAAGAGAGTAGACATGCAAGGGGCTAGGGCAAAAGGTTTCAAGATCAGAGAGGCTGAAGCACATGGACTGAGAGAGAGCTGGCAAGAGGGAAGTCACAGAAATAAGCAAGGTGGTCATGTTAGCCCCTCAGGCCCTGCAAAGGCCTTCTCCAGGGTAAACGGACCTCCACTGCTGTAGGGTATACAGAGCCGCTCGTGGGTGGGGCAGGTACCTCCTGTGGACTGGGAGAAAATCATTTAAGGAGCATTTTACTTTTTTTTTTATGGTTAGTACTTTAAAAAAATATTTTCAATTACAAGTGACATTCACTACTATTTTATATTAGTTTCAGGTATATAGCATAGTGATTACACATTCATATAATTTATGAAGTAATCCTCCCCAATAAGTCTAGAATCCACCTGGTACTATACATAGTTATTACAGTATTATTGACTAAATTTCCTATGCTGTACTTTATATCCTTTTGACTATTTCATAACTACCAATTTGCATATCTTAATCCCTTCACATTTTTCACCCTGTCCTCCAACTCCCCTCCCGTCTGGTAACCATCAGTTTGTTCTCTGAATCTATGGGTCTGTTTTTGTTTTATTTTGTTCTTTAGATTCCACATATAAGTGAGATCATATGGTATTTGCTTTTCTCTGTTTGACTTATTTCACTTAGCATAATATCTTCCAGGTCCATCCAAGTTGTTTCAAGTGGCAAGATTTCATTCTTTTTTTATGGCCAAGTAATATTCTGTTGTATATATGTATCACCTCTTTTTTCTCCAATCGTCTGTTGATAGGCACTTAGGTTGCTTCCATATCCTGGCTATTGTAAATAAGGCTGCAATAAACATAGGGGTACACATATCTTTTCAAATTAGTGTTTTGGATTTCTTTGGATCAATGCCCAGAAGTGGAGTTGTTGGGTCATAAAGTAGTTCTATTTTTAATTTTTTGAGGAACCTCCATACCATTTTCCATAGTGGTTGCACCAATTTGCAAGCCCAACAGTGCACAAGGGACCGAGAAACCTCAGTAGACATTTCTCCAGAGGACATACAGATGGCCAATAGACATAAGAAAAGATGGTCAATTTCACTAATCACCAGAGACATGTAAATTAAAACCACAATGAGATATTACCTCACACCTACCAGAATGACTATCATCAATATCTCAACAAATGTTGGTGAGGATGTGGAAAAAAGGGAACCATGTGCACTATTGGTGGGATTGCAAATTGGTGCAGCCACTATTAAGCAGCATTTTAAAAACACTTTCTTCTTCAACATCAACTAAAAGAGCAGGTAGATGGAGGGTCTAACAGGTGCTGAGACCACATCCAGAGCCCAGGCCCGCCAAAGTCCTGCCCAATAGGTGAGGTCCAAACCCTTCCCGCCCAGAGAAGAGGGGCTGAGTGTGAGTTACACCACTGGAGAAAAGACTACAGGGCATGGAGAGAGAATTGAGTGTAAAATACGGGCATGGATTTCTTTTAAATACCCCCTTGCTAGCACACAGTAAGTAAACACTGAGTATTCACTTCAAATTCCTCCATTCCCCCTGCAGGGGAGGGGCGGAGACCGGGGAGATTTTAGAGTTTAGGACACTGAGCTCACCCCATTTTGAATACTCCAGAACACCTGCACCCTCCCCCATAACCCTCGCCTAAGCGGGCGACCTGTGCCCCCACTTCGATCTCAAGTCCATCTTTGTAGACAAAACTAGTTGACCCGGAGAACCTTTACTATCCCTTTCCAGCGAGCCTCCAGCCCCCAACTCCACGCAGGTTGAATGTGGTGACAGCCCCGCTGGCCCAGGGAGACCGAGGGATTTTAATGCGACGGTGCCCGGGAAACGGCAATGGCTGCCGAGGGGATAGTCTGCGAACGGACTGACCGGACCGACCGGACCGCGTGCGGTGGCTGCAGGTAGAGTAGTAAGCGAACGCAGGTTGGGTAGCCAGGGATCATTCGGCGTGGTTAGCTTATCGGACCATAGGTGGCGGGGACGCGCAGAAGCCTCTAGGATATCTCCCAACCTAGGACCCTAGAAACCCGAGTTCTGGCCAGCTTGGTATGCTCTGGTTTCTGAATCCAGTACCGAGGCAGGAAACTGGCCCAATGAGCCAGGCCCAGGCTCCTAAGCTCTTGGAACCTGTTTTCCCTTCTGTCGAATGGGGACATTAGCGCCTTCCTGGTTTAAGGATATTTTATGTAAAGCCCCTTACTCATGGTAGGCGCTTCAGAAATGATAGTTTTTGCAAATAGCTCAATGAAAATATTTGCTTGCTAAAATCGTGCCTGGTCCGGGAAGCAAATTTAGGCCACTTTGGGGGCAGGGAGTCCTATTTCGTGCAGCACCTGGTGAGCGCCACTTAGCCGCAAAGCGCCTACCGACCCTGATCTAGCCCGCGGCGGGGATACCGAGGTGAGGAATTGCGGCTGGAGGGGAGGAGGTTCTGGAATCCCCGAATTCTACAAAGGGGCCTCAGAACTCCACTCTTCCACCAGGTAATTGGGAGTGCGCGCTACCCGCCAAACTCAGGTTACAACTCCTGCGCAACCTCGGCTCCGCCTGATTTCAGTTTCTTTTTCTCTGCCAGGCTTGCTGCCCCACAACCCCACCACCCTGCAGCGGCCCAGGGATTTGCCCCGTGATCAGTGACGTAAACGAAACTAAGGTTCCCATTGGGAGACGGAGTTCGGCAGGGGCCAATCCGGAAGCTGGTCTGGGAGAAATCTCGGTGGAGGGCTCCCAAGAGCCGGCAGATTACCCAGTGGGGACGCGCTGTTACGCTGGGCGCTCGTGGAGGATCGCGACCCGGAACTGACCGCCTTGGAAGACAAGTGACTCCAGTCCGAGATTCGCGGCCCTGAGTTCGGGGGTGAGTAGGGGGCATCCAATGAGAAATGCAGCAAAGCAGCAGTCGCACAAGCGCCCCAGGGTCCGGGCGACCAAACGTGGCTGCTGAGCCGCGCGAGTAGAACGTGGCTGGGCCTTCGGGCGGGCTCGAGAGAAGGGCGAAGTTCGCTGCGTCCTCTCACTCGGCCTAATATCTTCTGCTTGCTGGGGTCCCATCTACCCTTTTCTCGTGTGCCTTCCTCGCTTCCCTGTGTCCAGGTCAGGCACTGATCCATTCTTGTTTCCAGAGTCAGAAATAAGCGGGCCCGTATGACTCCTTGCTTGGAGCCGAATAGACGACCAATCTAGATCCGTAACCAAAGTCCTATTTTCTTCCACTTCCTTTTTTTTTCTCTTGGTCAGAATAAACCGGTTTAGTCAGGTATACTTGGAGCTATGCATTCCCTCCATCCTTTAGCCCATTAGCACATTAGTATTTTTCCTGCTCATTTTCTTTCTGATTTTGGCCTTTGAGAAGAGTGTGTAAATGTGTCTTTATGGAGCAAATGGGAGGCATAGAATTCCAAATTCGCAGCACATTCCAGTTTTTGACACTACAACGATTTGTGTAGTGTTCATGCATGCAACACATATCAGTGTCAGGGACATGCCTGAGCCGCTTGTTTAACTGTTAGCTAAAGTCATAATCCCGGGAATGATTTCCTCTCAAGTTTAAGAAAATCAGCTTTTTGAAAAATAGACTTTATTTTTTAGAACAGTTTTAGATTTATAGAAAAATTGTGAGGAGAGTACAGAGTTCCCATGTACTCCAAACCTTTTCCCCTTTTATTAACATCTTACATTAATATGACACCTTTATTATAATTAATGAACCAATATTGGTACGTTATTATTGGCCAAAGTCCCTAATATTCAGATTTCCTTAGTTTTTACCCAAGTACTTTTTCTATGTCATGATCTCAACCAAGTTGCCACATGACATTTAGTTTCCATGTCTCTTTATGCTCCCCTTGCCTGTGGCAGTTTCTCAGACTTAACTCTTTTGATGACCTTGACAGTTTTGAGGAGTACTGGTCATGTACATTGTAGAATTCTACTGGAATTTGTCTGTTGTTTTACTCCTAAAATGTTTGTTTTACTCCTTATCGGTTATTGGGAGAAAGACCACAAAGATAGACTGCCATTTTTAGCACATCATATCAAGGGTGCATGCCATCAACGTGATTTATGACTTGATGTTGATCTTGATCACCTGGCTGAGATAGCATTTATCAGGTTTCTCTGTAAAGTTACTTAATCTCCCCCTTCCATATTGTACTCTTTGTAAAATAGTCCAACTGTATGCAGCCCCCACCTAGAGAGTGAGGCGTGTTTTCCTTCTTTAAGGATGAGTATGACCATGTATTATATGGCATTCTTTTGCATGGGAGATTTGTTTCTCTCTTCTGTCTTATTTATTAACTTATTCAGTCATTTATTTATGTCAGTATAGACTCATGGATATTTATTTTATACTCTGGGCCAAAATTCAGTACTATTTTGTTGCTCAGATTGTACAGCTTTGGCCACTGGGAGCCCTTTCAAGTTGGTTCTTATGCTCTTTCTTAGCATGTATTTTTATAGAGCCTTTTGCTTTTTAAAAGCAAAATACACTTTTACTTATGTGACTTTGCTTGAACTTTCAAACAGCTTGGTGAACTTGCCTAGACATTATTATTTTCCCTTTATTAAGAGGTAAGGAAACCAAGGCTCAGAAGTAGTGGTTGACTTCTTAGATGTCACTTTCCTGAAAAGGAATGACAGGCTTAACTCAGACTGGTCTGACTATCACAGAAGACACTGTGAACCACAGAAAAGAGCCCCTGGTCTGAATTGAGACTTCTTGGGGGTGACTTCAGACTTAGCCCCCTGGGATCAGAATAGAAAAGACACGGAGAATGGGAAGCAATTGTTTTTGGAAAACAGCCAAGTTAAACCTTGTCAGTTTGGTAGAAATAGAAAAATAGAATGTCGACACCCCCCTCCGCCCCG